TAATCACAAACGATTCTTCATTAGCTATGATAAAGTACTGTGAAAATGAGTATAATATTTAAAATATACATTATAATATATATATTATACTTTCAATAATTACATTATATATTATACATGTATTATACTTTCAAAATTAGCTTATTACTCCTAGAACTTGAAATTTTAAAAGCAATTTTACTAATTTTCTCATATACACATATATAGAAAGAGAACCATAGTATAACTTATTAATATATATTTTTTATATAACAAAAATATATTTTATATCATTGCTTATCAAATGATACTGAAATAGTAATTTTAATCATCTATAATTTTATATATTGCCTATTATTTTCTACACTCCTTCAAGGAATACTTGATGCACATTATATACATTTTATATATGTATACATAATATTATATGTACAGACAGGAATGTATTAATTTAGAGATATTAATGTGGCTTTAGAAAATTTATCAAAATAAAACGATTGATATATATACAAAGGCATTAGGCATATCAGAATTAAATTAAATTAAATATTGTCTTCTTGCTGCCACCCATCATCGTCAGACAGAAATCTCCTCTTATGAGTTGTATTCATATAAGGCCTCAAGGCCCATTCCGTGTCAGCGGCTGATTCAGCATCCAGAGTTCCTAATTTGATCTCGTATAACTTCATTTGAAAGCGTGGTCCAACCTCTGTCAATTCGATCTCCTTTCCTCGAGCCTTCTTGTACACGTGATGCCGGAAGGATATGAAGTCGTCGTGATTGGCAAAACTAATCACCCTCTTGCTATCCTCTTTTGGCACGGGAAACAGGTACTTCAATATGTTCATTGTTCTCTCTCCTAATTTCGTCTTGAAATTATGAAAGATTAGATGTGGATATTGCTCCGACATTGTGCCAATGTCAGGTATATCGTGTCGCATTACGACACCGGATAACGTAAAGTAAGCCGTTGGTCCGTAGGGCAGATGACATATCACCAGGGCGTCGGGGACGCCACGATGCTCGTGCACGATGATGAAGTCCGTGACGTCGTTGGCTCGGCAGGCGTGGATCAGCTGCTTCATCTCGTAGTTACCGCGATTCATCCGCTGCGAGTTCGGGAATATCAGACGCAGCTCCTTCACGAACATCTTCAGGCGGGAGCTCGGGTCGCGCGACGTCGTGATGACGATCTTCGGGTCCTCCACGCCGGCCCAGCGATACTCGTCGTCCTCGTGATTGACCACGGCACCGCCCATCTCCGTGCCCATGGCCATCGCCATCTCCGGCCCGGCGTCCTCCCATTCGATCTTCCTCTGCACGTGCAACGCGCTTTTCCTCAGGTCCGGGTGGATCGGGACATTTTCCTCCAAGCTGTGCTTCAGCTTGTCCTTCTTCTCTTGGATACCTTGCACCTTTTCTTGCACGGATTTTCTGTAGAGGTACTCTCGACGTAATCGCGCTTGTCTTCGCAACATTTTTGTCACTCAAACTTGTATTCCTCGTCGATTGTTATGAGAACTTGCCGTAACTTTCTTCCTCGAGTAGCGTGTTTAACAACAGTAACGCGTGCTCATTTGGAGGTTATGATACCATGTGTTTTTAGGTGACGCGTGACCGGCGTGACGCGTGACGCTGTATTCATCAGATGCATCCAGTAGGCAGTAGTTGGATGTAATTGGTTGGATCTAAAAGTAAAGGCCAATCAAATGTAATACTTGATGCACCTAATGGGTGCATACGAGATCTGTTCGCTACATTTGTAACTGCACTTTTTCATATTTACTATATTCGAAATATTTAAATTAAAAAAAAAATAAGAAAATGGAGAAATATACATGAGAAATATAACCGAAACAAGCTTATCGTATAAACTGATCATAGGTATCTTTTCTGGTTGCACAAAAC